GGCTTTTATTTGCCTACACTTCACATTTGATTTGTTCCCCTTGAGAGCAGAATATGCGGGGAAGGGAGATGAACTGTTCGACCAAATGGTTCACATGTCCCCGAGCCTCAGACCTCTAAGATAACCTGGTCTAGGCTAATTGCCAGCCAGGGGGCAGGGAGCGCCACATCACCAGCAATGGAGGGGGTGGGGGGTGTGGGGGCCGGGCTATAGCTGCCCCTGGCAGTTCTGCCCCTTATCCACTGTGCAGCTGTGAGCCGACCACTAATTCTTCATACCTCCAGGGCCCCAGGTTCCTCCTGCATACAGTGGGAGGTGTCCAAAGACACTTCTTCATACTCCCAGGGCCCCAGGTTCCTCCTGCATACAGTGGGAGGTGTCCAAAGACACTTTGCTGATAGATATACAGGTGCTTCTTGACTTATGACAGAGTTAGGCCCTGATAAACCCATTGCTAAGTTGAAAATATCTTAAGTCAAAAATGCACTGAAGGCAAACGTCACTGCTTAACCTAGCCTACCTTAAATGTGCTCAGAACACTTACATGAGCCTACACGTGGGCAAAATTATCTAGCACACAGCCTATTTTATAATAAAGTCTTGAAAATACCATGCAATGGATTTAACACTGTCCTGGAAGTTAGGATGGTTCTATGGACACTCAAAGGATGCTTTCTACTGAATGCTTATGGCTTCTGCTACATTGTGTAGTGGAGAACTCAAAATTGGAACCATCGTAAGTTAGGAGCATCTGGATAGATATACAGACACATAGATACGCATCTTTATTTTGTGAGGCCAAGGGCAGCAAGACAACTTACCCAGGGCCATTACCTATATTGAGATGGAACTATGTGTGTTATTCTACCGTAATGTTCTTTTCAATTATAAAGCTTTAAAGTTTTATGATGTTAAGTCCAATTGTGTGTTGGGTCTTGAACTACCAAGAGATGCCAACAGAACGTGGAATTTATAAGTTGTCGTCTGGATTACGTAAGAAGAGGGTGTTTACCCCTCTGGTGAGCAGCACTCTGTGCCCAGAAGCAGAGCCTGATCTCAGCGAGTTAGATGTTTTAAGACAGAACATTATGGGCCTGGTAATCTGCAGTCCTTTGAATATTTGATCCAGATGAGAATGCTCTTTTAAAACGCAAATCTGATTTTCTTTCCTTAAAACCGCCCTGATTCCATACAACTTTTAGGACAAATATGGAATCCCCTTCCTGGGCAAGTTAAATACTTCACGGAGCCCCCACACTACTCCGGGTCCTTCTCTCACTAAATGTGCTCTCACCACTCACTACACTGCCCTGCAGGTCTCAGACTCTGCCTTGGTGCCTTGGGCCTCCTTGCTTTGAAAATGACCTTCCTTTGGTCTGAAGGCACCTGCCTTTCCCTAACCGTCTTTGATTATCAAAATTCTAGTTTTCCATCAAAATTTGGTCAAATGTTGCCCCTTCTGAGACATGGTCCCTGAACACCTCTACACAAACCTGGATTATTTGTCTCTCCTCCGTATTCCCATACCACTCTGTGTACACTTTTGGGCACCTATTAATACCACTGAGAAACCCCTTTTCCTGGAGTCAGAGACTGTCAGGGTAAAGCGGTGAATCTGGAGTCCTGAACATGTTCCTTGGGATGTATCAGCGATTTCTTCAGGACACGGCTTTTTCCTTAACCCTCTTGTCTCTTTTGTCAATCAGCAGTGCGTTTTCCACTTCAATGCCTGATTTGGGTAAGTGACATTTGTTTACTGCTAACCGAAAGGACTCACCACTGGGATACTCAGGGCCAGGGAAAAAGAAGTGGTGATCCTTCCCACATTTGCACATTCAGTGAAAAATTGGTCCATCAAAATCAAAGCAGCTATTTTACGCAGCAGTACTTCTGACTTTGGGGATGATGACTACCATTTAAGTACCTACTATAGTACCATACCCTGGAGTAACTGCTTTCTTCTTAAAATCCCAGAGAAATAAATGCTATTCCTTTTTAGGAAGGCTCTCAGACCCACATCCATACCTGAGTCACCCAGGCTCTGTGATCAAGTCTCCCTGACTGTTATGAAACTCACACATTTACTACACAGCCTCTTGAAGGATTCGATGCTCTAATTAAGATACACTAAGTTGGACAGGATCATGTTGCAGCCTGTATACTAACTGAACCAAGAATGGGGCATTGAAATAGTACTTACTTTTCCATCGAAATAATAGTGCCTATATTAGCCGAGTGCCTGACACATAGTAGGCTCTCCATACAGGCTCAGTGCATTGAATATGTCAAAAAAAGAGGCCATGGGATTTTGTTGTTCATTGTTTCTTCTCTATGTGCTGCAGCCATGTGGCTACTCTGATAGCAGTCTGACTTGTCCATTCAATTGTATATTATATTCCACAAATATGAGTTTGCTGAACTAAATCAAAGATCTCCCAACACATTCTTGGTCCGTGTTTTAAAAAAAAAGCTGACTTGGTGCCCATAGTACAGTGTTATGGTGCCAGCCACATACACCAAGGCTGGAGGGTTCAAACCCTACCAGGAATGCTAAACAGTAACTTCAACAAGAAAAATAGCCAGGCGCTGTGGTGGGCACCTGTAGTCCCAGCTCCTCGGGAGGCTGAGGCAAGAGAATCATTTAAGCCCAAGAGTTTGAGGTTGCTGTGGCGGGCACCTGTAGTCCCAGCTCCTCGGGAGGCTGAGGCAAGAGAATCATTTAAGCCCAAGAGTTTGAGGTTGCTGTGCTATGGCACTCTACCGAGGGCGACATAGTGAGATTCTGTCTCAAAAAAAAAAAGCTGACTTGGAATAAACGTGGATTTATCCTCACCCAAACTTAAAGATATTGAAGCAGCAGTCCCCAGTCTTTCAGGCACCAGGGACTGGTTTCCTGGACAATCTTTCTACACAGGGGATGGGGTAAGGCGGAAGGTGGGATGGGACAGGAGGAGGTGATGTGATACTGTGAGGCCTGGTTCCTAACAGGACATGGATGGGTACTGGGGATTGGAGACAACAGTATTTTAATAAAATGATTAAAGCAATAAGTAATTATGAATAATTGAATATGAAATCTGAATAATCATGCCAGATAGTCTCAAACATATAAGATCTGTGTACGGTGCCAAGGAATATGAGTATCCTACACTGAAAATATCTAATCACAGTTATGCACCAAGGTTAAGGTTATGCAGGATTATTTTAAAGACTCAGTTGTCAAATGAAAATCATGAAAGAAAAAAAGCAACATTAAAATTCTATTGTACTGTTTTCCCTCCAGGAATTAAGAAAAGCCCTCTCACTGTTCTAGAAGTGTAACATCTTTGTGCAGTTCCCAAAGATGGCAACCTTTCAACAACTCATATTTTCCTGAAAGTCTGCATGAAATCGAATTGATATAAACATGTGTAGATGTGTTTGAGATACAAGGATATATCACTGTTTTCTTAATCCCCCAATTAAATGTCTTCCCAAATGGAGCTTCTTTTTATTCTTCAATCAGATTGTGATAAAAAGAGGCTTGAGAATGTAATCTGGATAATTAGGTAAATTTATATAATTTGGAAAGTTAGAGATTATGTAAACCATGCCTAATAATGAACAATTTCGATCCTCTCTTGACCCTAGAACTTAGGTCTCAGGATGTTATTGTCTATGATGATGTGGGCCTGACTGCACAAGAGTCAAAGTAAGTCAATTTACCTCATGGTCCTCCCTGATGGTATCTTGACTCATTTCGTGA